AAAATTAATTTTGAGACCCTTTATAGTACATATAATTAGAGATCTACACCTTTTGAATTTGGGGGTTTTATTTTTGAGATTCAAGTGTGAATTGAAAATATTTTTTAAGCTGACAGCAGGGGATGTGGCTCAGTGGTCTGATACTGGACCAGCGTACACGAATGTCTTAGTTATGTTTCCATTGCTGTAGTGAAATGCCACAGCCAAGGCAGCTAACAGAAGGAAGAGTGTATTTCAGACTTGCCATTTCAGAGGGTTGGGAGCATCATGGTAGGGAGGCATGGCACCGGAGCAGTAGCTGAGAGCTTACAATTTGAAACCCGGAGGCAGAGACCACACTGGAAACAGTATGGGCTTTTAAAACCTCAAAGCCTGGGGGCTGGAGAGATGGCTCAGCGTTTAAGAGCATTGCCTGCTCTTCCAAAGGTCCTGAGTTCAATTCCCAGCAACCACATGGTGGCTCACAACCATCTGTAATGAGGTCTGGTGCCCTCTTCTGGCCTTCACACAGAAAGAATATTGTATACATAATAAATAAGTAAATAAATAAATATTTTAAAAAAAAACCTCAAAGCCTTCCTGCACACCTTTCTGTAGTAACACACCTTCTCCAACAAGGCCACACCTCCTAATCCTTCCCAAATAGTTCTACCAACTGAGGACCAAATATCAAACATAAGGGCCTTCAAGGGCCATTCTTATTCAAACCTCCACAATGAGATTCCTAGATTTAATCTAGTAGCAGGGAGAAAAAAATCCTGCAACCATTGAATTAAGGGTAAATACCAATAAAAAAAAAATATATGATATACTAAAAATGGTCAGATGTTCATTCTTATTATTCCCTAAACAACAGTGTAAAACAGTTGTGTACATAGTTGCATTGTTATTTGATATTTTAAGCAACTAAGAGCTATCTAAAGTATTGGCAAATACTATTTTATTTTATTTGAGAGACTGAAGCACATGCAAATTTTGGTATGTAAGATACTCTGTAACAGACCCAGCTGATCCTGAGGTAGCAACTATATATTTTAAGCAGAAGTACCTCCTGTGGGTCTCACATGGCTGTGATGATGTGACTACAATTCACGTCTTACTTTTCCTCTCCGTCTTCTTTTTTGCTGTTTAGAGTTGGAGAGGCTGCTGGGCAAGTTTGGACAGGATTCACAAAGAATAGAAGATTCAGTGCTGATTGGATGCTCCAACCAGCATGAGGCGTGGTTTGCTCTGGATCTAGGTCTGAGTAGCGCATCCTCCATCCACAGTGTGTACCCCTTTTCCTGCTAGGTACCTCCCTGATTTTAGGGTTCTGCAAAAAACCACTTTAAAGAAAATTTTACACATACAAAAACATTACCAATTTTTCCCTTTAAATAAGGAAAACACTGTCATCACTGAAAAGAGAGTAAGAAAGGAGAGTTTTGGGCCATAGTAGCCTACATAGTGAGTTTTTGAGTGGGGGGGGAGCTAAAAAGCAGAGGAAGGTCGGCATGTTAGTACATGTTTGTAATCCCAGCACTTGAGGAGCTACAGATCGTCATCCTCTACACAGAGGATGAGGCCAGCCCGCCGAGAGTTTCCATGGAGTGGTTCTGGGTCCTCCACCTGCACTCTAGAGTCAGTTTGGATCCTCCCCTGCTTTTCCTCTTTCTTCACTGTCTGGTGAAAGTGGAATGGTGGTGGAGTGAGCTTCGACATCCCATCTCTGTTTCCAAGGACTGTGCTGCTGGTCCTGACCACTCTGGAGGATCTGGAGTAGTACTGTGCTCTCCATTCCCCAGACTAACCTAAGAATCACATTTCTGATCTTCCAAAATTCAGACTTGGGAGCCCATACCCTGTGCATGAGCATGCATTCAACCCCCGCTCCCCAGGTAGAAGCCTGAGAACCTGTGTAAGTTCCCAAATCCTAGATGCGTCTCGTAGGCAAGTTTGGAAACAGAGCTCTGGCAGGAGGGACTTGGCAGAGGCAAAGGTGGACATGTGTTTAATCATGTTCTCTTTTCCAATTTTCTACCCTCCTGACAGAACCTGAAGTGGAGGCAGAGCTCGGAGGTTCTTTCATCAGTCTGAGGCGGGCTCTTTCTCAGCTGAGCTCCATGGATTCCTCCTTGCTGTTCACGGTACTTTGGTTTCTAGTTCCCTAGGAAGTATAAGAAAGACGTGTATGAGGGCAAATGCGCATGTACACACAGTCCTGGGGTGACACAGACTTTCCTGACATTGGCAGAGGACAGTGGACTGGGAAAGATGGTTTACTCTTCCTTGTTTTGCTTTTAGCAGAGCTACCATGAAGACTTAGCTCCTAAGAGCATAGCAACAGGCTCTACATATTTTTAAATAAATATTGATTGTTATTTATTAATATATGTTTTATGTACTTTTTCTCATAAATGCTTTTTAAAATTTGTTGTAATAAGAGCGGCGGGGCTGCGTCCCCGGCACCTGGCTGCCCACATGGCTAGCTTATGCCCGAAATAATTACACGGAAACTGTATTCTTTTAAACACTGCCTGGCCCATTAGTTCCAGCCTCTTATTGGCTAGCTCTTACATATTAATCTAACCCATTTCTGATAATCTGCGTAACCCACGAGGTGTGGCTTACCAGGGAAGATCTTAACCTGTGTCTGTCTGGAGTGGGAGAATCATGGCGACTCCCTGACTCGGCTTCTTTCTCCCAGCATTCTGTTCTGTTTACTCCACCCACCTAAGGGTTGGCCTATCAAGGGGCCTAGGCAGTTTCTTTATTAATAAGAAATCACTCCCACATCAAAATTTTTTAAATTTTTATATGCATTGGTGTTTGAGAGAGTTGGATCCACTGGAATTTCAGTTACAGATGGTTGTGAGCTGCAATCTGGGTGCTAGGAATTGAACCACTGAACCATCTCTCCAACCTATCATAAGCGCTTTTTAAAGATTTTATTTTTAATTGTATGTACATATATGCCTGAGTGTAGGTGTGCATATGAGTGTAGGTGTCTGCGGAGACCAGAAGGGGTCACCACTGCTGCATGAGATGGACTTAAAAGTAGTGTAAACATTTACAGGCCATAGGTGCTGGGAACGGAACTCTGGTTCTCTGAAAGAGAAGTATGTAGTCTCTTTTTTTTCGGTTTTTTGAGACAGGGTTTCTCAGTGTAGCCTTGGCTGTCCTGGAACTTGCTCTGTAGACCACGCTGGCCTCAAACTCACAGAGATCCACCTGCCTCTGCCTTCCGAGTGCTGGGATTAAAGGTGTGCACCACCTCCACCCAGCTGGTGTGTATTCTTAACCACGGGCCGCCTTTCCCCCCAACCTCATAAACATTTTTAATTCTATTGCATGAAATAAATCATGTTTCACATGAAAAATAATTTTACCTTACTCAAATAACTTGTGCACACGGCTTTAGATTCCACTAGTTAATTTTTATTGTTGGTTGGTTTGTTTAATTTTTTTTTTGTTTTGTTTTGTTTTGTTTTTTAAACAGGATCTTACCTACCCCAGGCTGGTCTTGAACTCACTATGTAGCTGAAGATGACCTTGAATTTGTGATCCTTCTTCCTCCTGAATTACCAGTATTTTAATCATGCTTTCAGATACCTGGCGTATGTAGTATTGAGATTATTAATGATTTTACTGCTGCTGTGATAGTCCAGTCCATCGTAGTGGGGAAGTCACGGCAGGTGGAGGTCGGTGGTCACATTATAGCCACAGTCCGGTGGCAGAGTGATGAAGGATCAGTTTGGTGTCTCCTTTTCATTCGGCCCAGGACCCCAGCCCATGAAAAGGTGCTGGACACAGTTAGGGTGGGTCTTCTCACCTCAGTGAACCTAACTAGATAATCTTTACCAGACGTGTCCCAGGGTTTGTTTCCATGGGGATTCTAAATCCTGTCAAATTGATAACATTTATCACCATACCAGCCTTTAACTTCAAAGATGGGATCTCAGGTAGCCCAGGCTGGCCTTCAGCTTCCTATATAGCTGAGGATGGTCTTGATCTCCTGGTCCTCTGGTCTCCATTTCCCAGTGCTGGGATTACAGGCACAACACACCTGTCTGCTGTGGTGTTTTATTGTGTGTTCTGAGTTAAAGAGAAACCCCAAAGCCTTTTTTAGGTGGGAAAAGAAAATCACAAGTTGAGTTGGGGAAACAGTGGATGAAAGGACCTGCTGCCCAGTCCTGACCTGAGTTCCACCCGGGGACCTGTAAAGCCAGCTGCCGTGGTCTGCTGCGGGGGTCCCAGCACTTCTATGGCGGGGTCTCAGGCAGGGGCATTAGCCTGGAGTACACTGCACGGCAAAGCCAGGGAGGCCCTCTTCAAGGTGGAAGGCAAGACCTGGTTCTCCTGACCTACTGCACACACACACACACACACACACACACACACACACACACACACAAATCACAACTTCATTGAGGAGGAATGAGTAGGAAAGACATGTTTTAGCTATAATAGAAATTGAAATGTTTTCTTCTTAAGCTGGGTTACATTTTATGGGTGTGTATTATATTGCTGTATATTTTTATGTTTTAAGAAATTCATAGTGCGTTTCAAAATACCTTTTAAGCTAGGTATATAGCTCAATGGAAGATTACTTCCTCGTGTATACAAAGCACTCCAAAAAACAAGAAATAATCCTAGGCAGTTTGGATGCTCACCTTACTAGACCTGGATGGAGGTGGGTGGTCCTTGGACTTCCCACAGGGCAGGGAACCCTGATTGCTCTTTGGGCTGACGAGGGAGGGGGACTTGGTTGGGGGAGGGGGAGGGAAAGGGGAGGCGGCGGTGGGGAAGAGACAGAAATCTTTAATAAATAGATAAATAAATAAGAAACATAAAAAAAAACAAGAAATAAAATAAAAAGTACATAAAATATGCTTTCTCTTAGACTTTGATGCTAGGAAAATATATTTAAGTCATTTCCTTATTTTCCAGTTTAAGGCCACTTGAAGTAGGTCACTAGGGCCAGTGAGATAGCTCAGCAGGTACCAGTCTGGTGACCTGGGGTGACCGTTGTAGAGGTGGAAGGGGAGAACCAACTCCACCAAGTTCTCCTCTGGCCCCTCCATGCACCACGGCACATGTACCATCCCCCCCACACACACTATTAATAATACAATTGAACAACTTTATGAAATAAGTGAGCTAGAAAAAGATTCCCCCACGAATTGATCTAGACACCCTCTCTAAAGCCAGACCTTCCTTTGTGTCTCCAGGCTCGGGCTCTTCTCCGCTGGCAAGATGGTCATCAGTTCTGCAGCAGAAGTGGGCAGCCCACTAAGAAGAACGTGGCTGGCAGCAAGCGAGTGTGTCCTTCCAATAACATCATCTATTATCCACAGGTGGGGCACAGTACCTGGGAGAAGACAGCCTGGACTACCTGAGATACTTTCACAAAAACCAAAGCAGGTGGCTGGAGAGATGGCTCAGCAGTTAAGAGCACGGGCTGCTCTCTTCCAAAGGTTCCCAGCACCCACATGGCAGCTCACAACAGTCTGTAACTCCAGTTCCAGGGGATCCAGTACCCTCTTCTGGCCTCCTTGGGCACCAGGCATGCATGTGGGGCACATACCTACATACAGACAAAACATTCATACAGATAAAATAAAAGACATTGTGGTCAGCACTTGGGAGGCAGAGGTGGGCAGATCTCTGTGAATTTGAGGCCAGCCCGGTCTCCACAGTGAGTTCTAGGACAGCCAGGGCTATGTAGAGAGACCCTGTTTCCAAACAAACAAACAAAACAAAAAAAATAAATAAATTAAAAAACAAAAACAAATTTATCTCAAAAATATTTCTCTTTGTTTTTTGAAAAAGGGTCTCTCTATGTAGCCGTGGCTCTCCTAGAATTTGCTATGTAAAATGAGAAAAGAAGAAAAAGAAAATTGAGGACAGTAGTCCAAGAAAGCTGCTGCCACTCTGCCGTGGGGAAGGACGCCTGTGTGCTCAAAAGGCTTCCATGATTGCCTGTTCCTTTTGTCTTCTAGGCCCCAAAATGGCGGCAGCTCAGTTTCCGTTCTCCTTTCCTAGATGGCCCCTGTGGTGATCACCCTGGTGACAGATGGAGCCCGGTGCCTACTTGCCCGCCAGAGCTCCTTTCCCAAGGGAATGTATTCTGCCCTGGCAGGCTTCTGTGATATAGGTGAGGGGTTCAAGGGAGGAGCTGCAGGTGACACGTCCTGATGCCACCATGCTCAAGTCACAATCATGCATCCTCATGTCAAGAAAACTTTCCTGGAATCATGTATGATTTTCCTACATAGCAGGAGGCAAAGTTTCACACATGCAGCATAGTGGGAGGAATGACCCAGTGGGTGCCCCTTCACCCACCGCCTTAGTTTTATAATCTTTAGTACACTCTTCCCACATATCTGTTTGTCTGCCCGGCCATCAACCCGTCTTACTTCCTGATGAACCAATTACAGACGTTAGTGAGTCTTTCAGCACACACAACACTGCTCACTGGACTCCCATGCCTACTGACACTGCTTTTCCGTATGCGGTTATCTCTCTACTGGGTAAAGTCTACAGACGGTGAAAATGGCACTGTCATGCGGCTGAAGGCAGCAGTAACCTCCCCCACGGCTACACTCACCAGCATCAAAACCAGCCCACTAGACTTGAGCACTTGCTGATTCCTCGTGCTGGGGACTGAGACTCGGGACCTCAGGGGAGCAGCGCGTTCAGACTCCTTTCACACAGTAGAGGACATACAATTGTCCTGCTCCCTGGCTGTCTGGAATTAATCTGAGTGCTTTCAGGTGAAAGTGTGGAGGAGGCCATCCGGCGAGAAGTTGCAGAAGAGGTGGGCCTGGAAGTGGAAAACCTGCAGTACTCCACGTCCCAGCACTGGCCCTTTCCCAATAGCTCGCTCATGATTGCTTGTCATGCAACCGCAAAACCAGGGCAGACAGAGGTAAATTCTGAACTTTCCCTTACGCTGTGGTGTCCCCTTCACAGGCCACTGAGTGCTCTCTGAGCATGTGTTTAAGGAGACTGTCCAGGTTATATGGCAGTATAGAAAATAATCAGTGTCGTGAAGGAACATGCCCCTGAGGCTGGAACAAATGATCACCATCCCCCTTGCTATGTCTCAGCTATGACACAACTTACCTTTGAGCTGCTTTGTAGAAACATAATTAACACCCAGTCTGCTAATGGACTTGGGGTGGGGCTCAAATGGCAGGGTGCGAGCCTAACATACACCAAGTTAGGGGTTCAGTCCTCAAGCACCATGTCAACCCAAACTGGTAGTCCTGCTCATAATTCCAACACTTGCAAGGTGGAGGCGGGAGGGAGAATTCGAGGCCAGTCTAGACTACCATCTGTAGACATCTAATGCATCTAACTTGCTGGGTTTGGAGAGAGCTTGTATTAGGAGCCAACAGTCAGATGACTGGCAGGGTCATAGACTTTACCCATCATTTTCTGTCCTCCTGTTTTTCCTCTGTGGTAAGAGCAATGAACATAAGATTTATTTTAATGTATTCAGGAGAATATTGCTAACTGTGAGTGTTGTACACACCTCCACAACTTAGTATGTTTAAGTGAAACTTTATATCCTTTGACCACTGCTTCCCCATTTCCCCCTCCTTCTGGGCCTTGGGAACGAGCAGTCTACTCTTTGCCTCTACATGTTTGACTATTTTAGAGTCTCCAAGCACTGAGACTGTGTAGAGTTTGCATAAGGCTTATTCTACTTAGCATGTCTTCCAGGCCCATCATCTTATTATAAATGTTTGATTTCCTTCCTTTAAAAAACTCAGTAATGCCAGCCAGGGTGACAAATACCTGTTACCTTGGTACTTGGGAAGCAGAGGAAGGAAGATTCAGGAGTTCAAGGCCAGCTTTGGTTGACATTGCAAGTTGAAGGCAACCTAGGACTGCATTAGACCATCTCAAAAAATAGCAAACAAAACCTCTCAATACTAGTTCATAATGTGTCACACTTTCCTTTTTGACATACATCTAGACTGTTTTTATATCATGGATGTAACAATAAGAATGGAGAGGTGCCTTTGACATCCTGATTTCAGTACACTTGGATTATGTGGTCAGAAGTGGGATTGCTGGATCAAATAATAGTTCTACTTTTTAAAATTTTATTTCACTGTGTGTGATAGGATTTCACTGTGTATCCCTGGCTGATCTAAAATTTACTATGTAGACCACGCAGGCCTGGAACTCCAAGAGCTCCACCCATCTCTGCTTCCCCAGTGCTGGGTTAAAGGCCAGGGCAACATTTTTATTTTTTTTTATAGAACTTCCATATATAGAACTACAGTGGTTGCACCAGTTTACGCTTCTGCCGATCGTTTATAGTGGTCCTCCATTTCGTTTATAGTGGTCCTCCATTTCATATCCTTGCCAACATCTGTTGTCCATTTGTTCATTTTTGAGGCAGGCTCTAACTATAAGTAGCCCAGGTTGGCCTTCAGCTTACTGTATCACTCTGACTTGCCTCAAATTTAGGGTCTTCCTGTTTCTGCTTCCCAAGTGCTGAGGTTCCAGGTGTGTCATGATGACAGGCTTCTTGGTTTTTTTGATAGTAGCCATCTGACTTAGCTGCCTTTCTATTGCTGTGAAGAGACACCAAGGCAACTTGTAAAATAACTTGTAAACTGGGGTCTTGCTAACAGTTCCAGAGGGTGAATCGGTGACTGTCATGGGAGGAAGGCGTGGTGCTGGAGAAGGAGCTGAGGGATGACATCCGGTCCACAAGCAGGAGGGAGAGAGAATAAGGAGGAATGGCATGGGCTTTTGAAACCACACCTCCTCTCATGAGGCCACACCTCCTAACCCTTCCCAAACAGTCCCACCTTCTGGGGACCAAGCATTCAAACATGTGAGCCTATGGAGGCCATTCTCATCCAAACCATCACACCACCTTAGAAGGTATGCAGCCATCTTGACTTTGCTCTGCATTTGTCTGATCAGTGACACTCTGTATTCTTCCATATATTTGTTTGCCATTTGTATTTCTTCTTCTAAGAACCATCTATTCAGGTGTTGCCTGTTTTCCCCAGTGCTAGGGACTGAACACAGGATCTCAAGGGTGCACGCTACCGCCGAGCTCTTCCCATTCTGTATGTGGTGCTGAGCTGCAAGGGATCCTTTACATAGTCTGGATATTCTTTATGAGCTGTTCGTTCTACAGACATTCTCTCACATCCCGTGGGATGCTTTTTCATTTTGTGTTTCCTTTGCTGTATAGAAACTTTTTTCTTCTGAGACAGAGTTTCTCTGTGTAGCACTGACTGTCCTGGAACTCACAAGGGAGACCAGGCTGGCCTCAAACTCACAGAGATCCTCCTGCCTCTGACTCCAAGTGCTGGGATTTAAAGAGTGTGCCCCCACTGCCTGACTTTTTATTCTTATCTCATCTTGTCTGCTTCAGTATTTTCTGTCTTTGCTTTTAATGGCACACCTAAAAAAAAGTCAGTGCCCAGCCCAGTATCACAAAACAGTGATAGCAGTTTCTTCTAAAAGGTTTATGTACAATTAATTCTTGATACATTTTGTGGTTTTTTTGGTGGAAAGAGTGCAGTTTCGCTCTTTTCATGTGTATCCAGTGTGCCAACCCCATTTATGTTGAGATTTTTTTCACCTTCAGTTTTGGTTTGGTTTGGTTTGGTTTTTGGTTTTTCGAGGCAGGGTTTCTCTGTAGCTTTGGAGTCTTTCCTGGAACTTGCTCTGAAGACCAGGCTGGCCTCAAACTCTTAGACATCCACCTGTCTCTGCCTCCAGAGTGCTGGGATTAAAGGCGTGCGCCACCACCCAGCCCCACCTTCAGTTTTTAACAGTACCTTATATAGAGACAGAATACACACACCTCACTTAACAATTTGGGAGTTGGTCTTACTGCTCAGGGAATTCAGGATGTTGAGGAGTGATGACATGAAACTCTAGGAACTTCTGGTTGAAAGGGACTTTGATGTCTTACCCAAATCCACCTCGGTTGTCTGTAGCGTGTCTGACAGATGGAAGTCACCGAAGGCCCTGCCTATCAGTTTGCCTATTCTGTCATCTGATTTTTATGGACTCGAATCTGCTTCCACTTCCTGGGACAGTCTGTGTTTACTTTGCTTCTTGCTGTTAGTCATCATTCACCTTTACCCCTTAGAGAAGAGAAGCGTTTGTACAGATGTGTTTGTGTGTGCACTTGGTGGAAATCAGAGACAGGCTGTGGGCATCTGTTCTCCCCCAAGTCTGGTGTGAATCCTGGGGACCAGGCGGAGGTCCTCAGGCTTGGCAACAAGAGCCTTTACCTGCTGAGACAGCTTGCCAACCCTGTGCCTGCTTTTTAATTGAACAAGTTATACAGTTGATGCAGACACAATTAATTATAACTTACCACTCGGTATTTTAGTGTCTATACTTTGGGATTTTATGTGTATGTACGCTGGGTACTGAAACCAGGCTTAACAAATGTTCTTAGCCTTGTACAAATAAGATTTTTTAAATTTATACTTTTTAAAAGAACTATTTAAAAATACATTTAATTCTCTCTTGTGTTTCTGGTTTTAACCTAGCCCATCAATGTCAGGTGTTATCATTTGAGAAAACATAGTTTTATTTGCATTTTCTCACTTTAGTATTTTTAAATTTTATGTCTTCTAATTTTGCCCCCTCCCCCTTGTCTTCCAGATCCAGGTGAACCCGAGAGAACTAGAAGCAGCTGCCTGGTTCAGTCTGGATGAGGTGGCCGCAGCCCTGATGAGAAAGGGCTCCTTTATTCAGCAACAGAGTGATGCTCTCCCACTGCTGCTGCCCCCCAAGTTAGCTGTTGCCCACCACATGATTAAGACGTGGGTGGAAACACAGACCTGTTCTTCCCTGGCTGCTTAGCTCAAGTCAGGCCATCTAGATCCCTCCCAAGCAGCTGAAGGGCATGCAGAGGAGGTGGCAGAGCCTGCTCCAGGGAGCTCTGAGGAGTTCCTGTTAATAAAAGAGGTTCCGACTAATGAACAACCAAAAATGTCAGTATAACCTGGATAGAACATCCTGTACCCGCACTTGTCCAGCTGCTCTGAAGGCTGAGGCAAGAGCGTCACTTTTTCCTAACAACCTGGGAAACACATCGAGACTGTCTCTGGCAAAGCAGAAGTCTAAGGAAAGCGTTGATTGATGAGAGGCTAACTATGACAAGCTGAGGGAAGGTGCTGACTTGTTTGGTGGGGGTCATTTTCTCCGTGGCTGTAGGAGCAAACACTTTCCAGCGTGTGGCTCATTGATGTTGCATTTACAGGAACTGCCGAATGTGCCTGGGGTAATTTATCTTAGTATCTAAACTACTGACAAATCTCAACTCACATTTGAATTGCTTCTGTCCCCACAAAAAAATAACATAAATAATGTTTTTGAATTTGTGTGTAGGTATATTCTTTTTTAAATTTTATTATAAATGTTTGCCTGCATATACATCTTTGCACAACATGCCTGCCTAGTTCCTATGGAGGCCAGAAGAGGGTGTCAGATCCCCTGGAACTGGAGTTCCAGACTGTGGCTAGCTGCCATGTGGGTGCTGGGACTCAAACTTGAGTCTTCTGGACGACAGGCTCTGATCCCTCTCCAGCCCCTACACGTGTGTTCTTTTGTGGTAGGAAAAGTCGACTTTTGTAGCAGTTGTTGCTAGAGGCCTCACACATGGTAGGCAAGTGCTATATCACGGAGCCCAAAAGTTATGGTTTTATCTTTGTAAGCTCTTGAAGGGGTGAAGAAAGTGGAGCAAAAGTCTTCCACAGCACGCTCTACAGGCAACCAGAGGCGGTGTAGTTTTTTGAAGTAGCTAAACCCCAGAAGGGCTGGAGATGATTTGAAAGACTATGTTGTCTTTCCAGCTCTTTTATTTGTTCAGTTTGTGACCCAGGGAAGAGACTAAACAAAAACAAAAACAGCACTGGACTCTGCACACACAGAGAGTGCTGCTTCAGTTAGGGGGATGGCAAGGCCAAGTAAACACCACGCCTGAAGCTCAAGTCAGGACGACCCCCAACTCCACCCATGGTGCCAGACTGAGCTCAGGACCTCACGCACCTAGGCAAGTTTGTCGCTGAGCTGCACCCCAGTGCCTGTGTCCTCTGTATCTTGCTGCTGTAAAAGAGAAGATTCCCTGGAGGAAATATATTCATGCTTTTACTCAGACTTGTTTTTTTTTCTGTTCTGTGGTTCAAATTTTAGAACAATGAGAGTGGGGTGGGGACAGGAAAGCTCTTTGTGTGTGACAGAAAAATGTTTGAGTCTAGATTGCCAGGCTGCGACACAGCTGGGACATGTGCAGAATCTGGAAAGAGTGACCACGGCAAGTCCTAGATTCAGATAACGGCGCTCATTGGTGGTTAAAAGATAGAAGACCCAGCCGCCCTACGTTTACCCATTAGTGGAGCATTTATCTAATTATTCTTTATTTTTTATTATCAATAAAAAGTTGGGAGTCAGATATTGAGATAAGAACCTGAATGATCAGAGAAGTGGCAGAGAAGCCACCAGTGACCTCCTGTCTCTTCCATTTCTCCATCCAAAAGTCCAAGATTCTTTCAACCCACCTTCTTACTTCCTGTTACCTATCTGTCCTCAGTCCTCCAAAATCTCTATGGTTAATTTGACCAGCTAGTGGCTAACTCCGCCTTCTGACTCAAAGCAAACTTAATGGTCAGAATGCGATCAAGATATCACACAACACATTAAAGCCCCATAGCACTAGGCAAAAGATTCCAGAAGTGAAAAAGTTGAAGCTCTGAATTTCCCTTTGACCCCAAAAGGTCACTTCTGGGAAAACCCAGCTGCCTCCATCAGAAATTCTTGAAAGATACGACCTGGTCCCGATTTGGCAGCTCGCCTCCACCCAAGGAGGACAGCACTTGGGAAAGGAACCTGAGATTTCTGCACAACCCTGCAGTCAGGAAACAGTTCAGGGTCTGTGTGCATTACTACCTGCTCATGCCGTGGATGGGCTGAGTTTGGAGAAGGGCTCAGGGTTCCGGCTTAATTATGTGCTTTTTGATGAACCTGGGTTTTTTGGAAAAGATGAGGGAAGCTAATAGGAGACACCGCAATATTGAACTTCATTTTCCCAGCACGAGTTGGGTAGAGGGGCCTTACCACTCCACGGTTATCTGGAAGATGGGGCTGGGATACTGAAAATGGCAGGTCTGTGGGCACAGGGTGTGTGCGTGCACAGGCACACACATGCATGTACACACAACAAGGGATTGTGGAAGCACTAAGGATAGAGTGGCATGGCTGGGGCCATGGTGCAGATTAGCACAACCTTTTACCAAATGTCACCAGAGGGAGTCTGCACCAAGCTCAGTCATCTTTGGTAATGGGAATAGAGAAACAGCCTGCTCTAGACTGTTTTATCTGTTTACCCTTCCTCAACATTTTGTCATCAATGAAGATATAATTAACATACATGAGTGCATTATGGGAAAGCCAGGACCGAACCATAATATGGGGACTGAATTTCAAAACAAACTGTAAGATGTACTTACTCTCTTTGTTTGGTTTTTTAATTTATTCTTAACATTTAAAGTTATTTAAAATGCTACCAATTAAAAAAATTCATCTGCTACTTCTGCATATGTGTTTGCATGCAGGCACGCCTGTGTTCATGTGTGGAGGCAGAGGTCATCTTCAAGAGCCATCCACGTGGTTGAGAAAAGGTCTCACTGGCCAGGAGCTTGCTGATTAGACGAGGCTAGCTGGCCAGCGAGCTATGGATATACCCAGGGCTAGGACTATAAACATTTGCCGCCAGTTAGGTGGATTCTGGGGAACTGAAAGGTGCAGCAAGCATTTCATTGATATAGCTCTCCACCCAGCCTGATTTTTATTAATATATAAATTTATATTATATTTTAAT